ACTACTACTACTACGGCTACTACTATTACTACTACTACTACTACTACTACTACTCCTACTACTACTACTACTACTACTACTACTACTACTACTACTACTACTACCACTACCACTACCACTACCACTACCACTACCACTACCACTACTACTACTACTGCTACTACTACTACTAATAATAATAATACGACTACTAGACTACTACGACTACTACGACTACTACTACGACTACTACTACTACGACTACTACTACGACTACTACTACTACTACTACTACTACTACTACTACTACTACTACCGCTACTGCTACTGCTACTGCTACAGCTACGACGATGAGGAGAAGGAGGAGGACGGCGTTTACCGCTCCTACTAATGCTGCTTCCCTAGAGGCTCCAACTCCTAGGTAGGGTCGCACTGGGATAATCCGAGCTGCGCCCTGCCGCGACGGCAAGAGAGAGAGAGAGAGAATCGGCGACTCCGAAGAGCCTGGTCTGCAGAGGGTGTGGTCGGCAACCGGCAAACCGGGGGGGGGGCACCTCGCGGGGTGGGCGAGGACCTCGAAGCAGCTCTCCGCCGTAGGAGACCCAAAAAGACCGTGTCGCTCCCCAAGCCCCAGCGGTGCCGATAGCAAACCACATCCCCGCACAGACATACCCTTATTGAAATCTTGGGGAGAACAGGGGAAGCACCTGGCGGCCAGAAATCGAGGAGGCAAAGGTAGGTCAGGTACCTGGGCGCGCCGAAGAGGGCGGGGGGGGGTGGGCAGCGCATCATGGCAGCACGATCCGAGGCATGTGCGCGGGCCAGGGCGGCGAGGGGGCGTGTTGAAAGAACAAATGACCATGAGATCCTGGAGACTTCGTGGTTGAAGGGCCCCAGGGACACACACACACAAATAAACACAACACCCAGGACTCCCCACGTTGTCCCATATTCCTGGATGCTCTTCTTCCCCCCCACTTCCCATATGTTCCACACGTTCCTGGGAATCGACGATTCTGTTCATCTGTGCCTTCTTCTCCCTCCTGGATGGCCCCGACCATGACATGCACCCCCCTGGTCGTCGCCCCTTTCGTCGGCGCTCCCGATTCTGTGACCCCCGCCACCGCCCCCGAACACCTCCGCCAGTCGAGCTCCGTCCGGCGGTGACGAAGGAGGCACGCGACGGCCCGAAGGCGAGTAGCTGGAGGTGAGGCAGAAAGCCGCCCGCCCGCCCGCCCCCGTCGCCCGCCCCCGTCGCCCCACGGGACGTCCGACGCCGCGAGCTTCACGAGGCGGGGCCCCCCCGGAGGCCCCCCTCGGTCCTTCCCTCCAGGGCCAGCTCTTCGCCCCGAGTCGTTGCTGTTCGACGGCCCCGGGGCCCGGTGCCGATGCCGCCACGGTCGGAGCTAGGCCAGGAAGAACATCCCTCAAGAACAGGAGACCCTCCGTCGGCCAAAACAAACAGAACATGCCAGGGTACCCTGCCCAGGATGCAGAAGAGCATCCAACAGGCACGAAGAACACCGGGGCACCCTCCCCGGACCGACCTCGATCTTATACCTCGGTCCGACTGTGTCCTTTCCTCCCCTGAGGTGAGGGCCCCCCTCTGAGGGGAGGGCCCCCTCGAATCGAACAGGGGATCGACTGCAAGATTGGTTCCCCCCAAACGGATTTGTCCGTCGGGCCGACGGAACAGGCGCAGTGTGCTCCGCCGGAGCAGTCGCCGCACTTGTCGTAGACTCTACGAACGAATGAGTGCTGGGGTAAATTCATTATTGTGGTCGATCCCCTGTTCGAATGTGGGCGTTTTCTTGTTCGGCGTCTCGACATTGAGCGACATGAGGGGGGGGGCTCCTCCTGCTCGAAACAAACGCCCGAAGCAGCCGAGATCCACTCCAGGGCGGGGGGAGCCGGGGGTGCGAGGGCCCGCGCCGATCGGCAAAACAATGAATCAGAAAACGATCACAATCGACCGACCTCCGCCCAAGTGTCTGCGTAGGACGTTGGATGTCCAGGCCCTCTTCGGTGCGCGCCGCCGGGCCTCGGGCTCGCAGGTGCTGATCCGGTACATGCGCGGACGGGCCCGCGGTCTGGGCTGGCCCCCCACCCCACCCAAGGAGGACCAGAAAGCAAACGACACCACCCCACCTGCGGCCACACGGGGTCTACTTTGGGCTTCTTAATAGGCGTGGGGGGTACCCCCCGACGGGGGTCAACTTCGCCTCGTTGTCGCGCCGCGACGGGGGTCGGAGCGCCTTCGGCACGCGGTGGCTGCCCGCGACGGGGGTCGATGTGGGGCTGTGGGCGGGGGCGTGACGCCCCCCCCCCGACGCTTAGAAAGAAACTCGGAGTAGAGTGTACCATGAAATCTGGCGTGGGCTCTTGCGTGGTATACGCTACGGCCTCCGATGGGCCGCAGCGCAACATGAAGGGCCGTAGGTGGGGTGGTGTCGTTTGTTCCCAACCAGCATGTGGTGTTGGGTCCTCGTTTTGAAGAGGTCCCGCGTCCCTCCTCCTCCTCCTCCTCCTCCTCCTCCTCCTCCTCCTCCTCTCCTCCTCCTCCATCTCCCTTCTCCCCCTCCTCCCTCCTCCCTGCGTTCCACCCACCCAGTACACCGTCTCGTGGCCCCATAGGGGGCTCCACCAAAGGTCCCAGTGGCACCGCCCGCATGCGTCCGCCACCACTTAGCATAGCTCTTGCTCCCTGCGTTTCACCCGCCCAGCACAACGTTTCGTGGCCCCATAGGGAGCTTCACCGAAGGTCCCAGCGCCACCGCCCGCGAAATCGGGGCAGATATCATGGCTCCGGCCATGGATATCACCCCCCCTACGATGCGTTTGGTAAAAAGCGTGGGTGGGTCCCCCCCGACGGGGGGTCAACGTCAATCTGTCCGCGCCCGTGGGCGGGGTGTCTAATCTGCGGCGGGTGGCGTGGGCCGACCGGGCTCGACGTCGCACGGCCATGTTTGCCCGCGACGGGGGCCGATTTGGAGCTGTCGGCCGGGGTGGCGCCCCTCAGCATGGGGGAAACGGTCATGAGGGAAACGTGTCCTGGACCCCAGGACCTTCCCCCAAGACGAGGTCTTCATCCCGAGTCGCTTTCGGAGTCCCGGGGCCCGTGGAGGGCGCCGAGAGTCCGAGCACGGGGACAAACCTCAGGACCCGTTTCCCTCCAGACCCGCTTCCCCCACGGCAAGGGCCCCCCCACTCACTGTCGAACGCAGGATGGTCATCACCCTCCTCTTGTGCCGCCTGGGAGCGGCGGGAAATGGAAACGGCGAGAACGCCCAAAAAATATGTAACAAGCCGGCGGGGCCTCAGTGGATTGGCCTCGTGGGGTCCTCTCGGGAGTGCTCCTGGAGGCCTCCCGGGGCGCCCTGGAGGCCTCCTGGGGGCAGTCTGGAGCGCGTGCGGGCGTCCTGGGCCGCTCGTTCGGCGGCTTTGGAGCCCTCCTGGGCTGCCCTCCGAGGGTGGGTGGCCGCCCGACCGCGGGGCTGCGTCGGCGGCACCGCGTCGGCGGACTCGCCCCGGGCGGCCCTCGGCGCGCCGCGGCGCCTGCGGCGCGCGAGCCCCGCGGCGAGGCCGAGGGCGACGCCGGCGGCGGCGACGGCACCTCGGGGCAGAGCGCGAGGGCGTGCGCGCAGCGCTTGCGCGCGAGGGGTGAAGTTTTTGTTCGCGCTGGGAGCGTCCGCCCTGGTCCTCCTCCCTCCGCGGCCGCGGCTCCGCCCTCGCCTCCCCCTCTTGCCGCAGGACGACTCGTGCCTGCCATTTGCCCGGCCGCTGCCGCGCCGCGCGTGCGGATGGCCGCTGCCGCGCCGCGACGAAACACACAGAAAAGAAAGCGCGGGTGCCCTGCTCTGCGAAAAACTCGGCGCCCTGGCGCGAACGGCCGAAGGACCCAGAACGCGGGACCCTTTGGCGACACGCTCCGCCTCCGCACAAAAATCCGTGGTTTGCGGCAGGCCCGCGAGATCAGGGGCACGGCGCGCGAGCCGTTGGCGCCAAGGTTTCCCGGGAGACGCCCAGCGGCGTGACCGAGACCAGGTGCACGCAGCAGATGTCGTGGCCACCACCTCTGCCAATCCCCCCACTTCGTCCGACCTGAACAAACGTGGCCGACCCCCAACGTGTTGTCCTTTCACGGCGCACCGTGGAGGCGGAGAATTAGCGGCGATACCAACAATCAGCGAAGGCTGTCAGAAGCCACCAGCCTCGACCGTTGGGCAGGCGGCGTCTGTCCCACATCGACAACGTCCCCGACGGCACCGACAACGAACCATGTTCAAAGCGGGCTGAAACTGCTGCTGGTCTGGCTCCCCAAACGTTCGATATCTGGATTGCTTCAAACCGTGAATCCCTGGTAGATCTGACACTTCCCCCAGGACCGGCTTTGCATCCAGAGTTGACGGTCGCGGAGCCCGAAAATGGCTCAGAATACAAACAACTGAGACAATACCTCCGCCTCGTTTCTTTCAAAACGTTGGACGCCGGGGTCCCTCCTCTTTCCGCTCCGTTTCGATCGCTGGGCAGGTCCACGGCGCAGTGGCGTGGGCGTGGGTTGCTGACAGCGCGCGGGTCGCTCAGTCTTGAACGATCGCGGCTTCCCGGTGGCGCAGATAGTTCGAGGTCGGCCGATTTCAGGCCGCTGGCGGCGTTCAACCTCGAAAGACCACGCTTCGGAGCAGAAACAGAGGCCACCGCCACCGAGAACCCATCTGGGGAGGGGCCGACCCCCAGGGGTGGTGGCACGCCTGAGCGCCACCCAATACCGGACGATGCTCGGGCGTGCCACCTATCAGGGATAGCCCTCCTTGGAGGCGGCCAGGGGGTCTGAACAAGCTGGGGCCCCCAGAAAGGCGATCAAGAGGGGCAGACGAAGCTAAATCGACCCCTCGACCCCTCCTGGGGTCCATCTGGTGCATTTCTCACCCCAGATTCGATTCTGACGGTCCCGGGGCCCGAAAACAGCGCCTTGAGGCAGAAAAACGCAAGAAAAACGTCCTACAACCCAGAACCCTCGAACCCCACCCCCCTTCCTGCTCGCTGGAACCAATGCTGGACCACCTCAGGCCCTCAGCCGGCTCCAAGGTTAGGGTGGTCTCTGCTTCTCTGAACATTATGTGGCAACTCATGGGGGCCTCCCGTGCCATCTTGCTGGCTCTTGCGAATAAGCGCCGACGGATGGCAATCGACGCTGATCGGCGCCAGCCGACGCTAATGGACGCCACACCGACGCCACATCGGCGCTACATCGGCGCTGTCCCATCGACTCTCATGCTCGAGCGCACGCCAACTCGAGAGACGGACTTGCGAGGTCACACGAAGGCTCCCCCGGATCTGCTGCCGCACGAGCGCCGAAGGCCATCGCCGCGCCGACGCGGCACGAGCCTGCCGCGCCGCCGACCCCCCTGGGCCCGACCGTTGGCCCCCCCCTCGGAGCACCCGCCGCCATGTGCACGGGCCCTGCCGCGCGCGACGTGCTCGCGCCCTCGGCTCCTCGGGGAGCGCACGCGGCATCCGTGGGCCGCGCCTCGCCGTCGCTCGGACGTCCGCTCCCCCCGTGCACCTGCCGGTTCCGTGCGCTTGTGCGTTCGCGAGGTGGTCCAGGATACTCCTCGGTGGCCCTCGCCGGGAAAGCGCGCACACGTCCGAGCGATGCCAAGACGCCAGCCAGACGACCCCCCAGAAGGTCCGTTACGGGCGGGGAGGGGGGGGAGGGCCTGCAAGCGCCACAGCAACTATGGTTGTGAGCACCAGCGCATGCCTTCAGCACCACAGCATGCCTCTCTGAGAACCGCGCCAAGCCCGTGGGGGAACTGCCTGCCCCCCCCCTTCACCACACGTACGTTCGGTACCGTCACAAGGAGGGGGGGGAGAGGGGGGGGGTGACACCCCGTAACAGACGTTACGGGTTCACCGAACGAATAAAAAACAATCTCGTGGTGACGCCACGCAATTTGTACAGAAAGGGATCGGAAAAGCACGCGAAGCCTGAAAGACGTCGCGCGTGCCATTGATCACTGGCATCTCTTGCCCAGACACCCTCCGATATGATTTGTCTGGCCCGCGGCCTCCGCGCTCCCTCCGCCTCCTCCTCCTCCTCCTCGGTCTCCTTCTCCTGCCTCCTCTTCCTCCTCCTCCTCCTCCTCCTCGTCCTCCTCCTCCTCCTCCTCCTCCTTGTCCTCCCTCCTCTTCCTCCTCCTAATCTTCCCCAGGAATCGTGTTCCTCCCCGGATCCATTCCTCATGGAACCAGGGGTCTGCCCGCGGCCCCCCAAGAGCCGAAACGGAGAAAAAAACACGCTGCGGTTTGAACCATCTTATCGCCGGAGGTCTGGGTTGAGGGGCAACGATCGGGGGCACCAGCCAAGGGGGGGGGGGGGGAAACACTGAGCTGGAATCGGCGATGCATCGCCGATAGATCGGCGACAGGCCTGCGATAGCGAATCCGCAGGTTCCTGGGCAGGGTGGGACTATGGGGGCCCTGTCAGCGCTGAGTGGGCGATTGGGGATCGATGCTTCCCAACCTCAGCCCATCCCCCCGATTGAGCAGGGCCCGACCGTCCTGGCATTCCTAGAGGCCTAATTACCACGATATGCGATTAGAGCAAACAAAAATTCGAATAACCAAGAACGCATGTCATTCGAACATAAGCCCGATGCATCCAAACAAGACTGTCTCAGCCAGAAATGTTCCAAGAACAGTCCGTGCAAACCACAAAAGGTTCTCAGAAGATTTCCTGGTGCGCCTATAGTAGGGGAACTGACAATGACATGGAACATAGAAACTCTGAGGTCCGCGCGAATTCCTCGGATCGACGCTGGGGCCCCTTGGCGGCGCCTCTGGCCGCCCCTGGCGCCGCCCCGCGCGGCAGGAAGGGGGGTCGAGCGCCGATCCGAGACATCCGCGCGGACCTTCGAATTTCTATGTTCATGTCGTGTTGTCCGTTCTCCTATATAGGCCGGCCAAGACGCTTAGCCACTGCTCGACCCCATCGTTTGCCTCTGATGGGTACCTCTAGGCCGGGCGTGTCCCCCTACAGGGAGGTAGTGGAGGAAAGATTCATCAAAATAGCCAAAAGATGCGCCAATATGGCAGAAAAACGCTCCAAAAATCGTCCTCATGCTATTTTTTTTTTTGTTACCATTTTTGCATTTTCCTCCTGTCGAGGGACAGAACTGGCCCGCCGGACCGAGCCGGCCGGACCGAACTGGCCCGCCGCACCGAATCGGCCCAACTGGACGCGACCCCAACGGCGGGTCTCGCGAGAGAGTCGAGCATGCTTTTCTCGTGCCCCCCTTCTTCTTCTACTGCTTCTTCGTCTCTTCTTCTTATAATCCTTATTCGCATTCTTTTGTTTCTTCTTCTTCTTCCTTCTTCTTATTATTACTAGTATTAATATAATTATTATTACTATTATTATTATTATGATTATTAGTATTATTATTATTACTATCATTATTAGTAGTAGTAGTACTACAAATACTATTATTAATATTAGTTGTTATTATTATGATTATTCTTATTATTTCTATCATTGTTATTATTCCTCCTCCTCCTCCTCCTCCTCCTCCTCCTCCTCCTCCTCCTCCGCTCCCGCTCCCGCGGCCGCGGGGCGCCCCAGGGGCAGGGGCGCGGGGCCCGCGGCGGCGCCCGCGGCCTCCTCGGCGCGCGGCCCGGCGGCCACCGGGCCGCCCGCGGCCCGCGCCGCCGCCGGCGCGGCCGCCGCCGGCGGGGCGGCCCTGGGCAGCAGCAGCGGGCGCGCGACGAGCACCTTGGGCGGCGGGGCTCCGGAGCCAAGGGCCTTCGCTACTCCGTCGGGGGCTTGCGGCGGGCGCGCGACGAGCACCCGGGGCGCGGGGCTCCGGAGCCAAGCCTTGGCTACGAGCTCTTTCGGGGGCTTGCAGCGGGCGCGCGACGAGCACCCAGGGCGCGGGGCTCCGGAGCCAAGCCTTCGCTACTCTTTCGGGGGCGCGCGGCGGGCGCGCGACGAGCACCGGGGGCGGCGGGCTCTGGAGCCAAGCGCCAAGCCTTGACTATTCCTGCGGGGGCGCGCAAGCACGGATTTTTTGGCGATCCATGGGTGTGGCGCGCGGTCTGCCAGGTCCATGGATCCGGGGAGGCCTCCTCCTCAAAACGCGGCCGGGTGCCGCCTGGTTCGGTGGCGGAAGTCGGCGATTCCCCGTGGAAGCGGGAGCCGTCGCTAATCCACGCCCCCTTAATCCATGGTCAATCTCGATCGCTAGCTCGCCCGTGCCCGCCCCCGTGCCCCCCTCCTTTCCCACTCCCCCAGGTCACGTCACGAGTCGCGCCGGCGCCGAGCGGGGAGACAGGCCTTCGCCCCCCTCCCCCCCCCGCAAAGTCACGCCCGTTATCGCCAGGGGGTGCAAAAACGCTCTCCTGTACACATCCGCCGCCCCTGGCCAGTGAGCCTCCATGGGTACGGTACAGTCGAGAGCCTCCAAGAAGCTTGATCACACTGGTCTGAGTCCCTCACACGGCTCGAGCTAGACTGTGCTTTCCGTTTTCGTTTTGTTTTCGCTTGCCCTCGTGCTGTCTCCGTTCCGCCTCTGATGCAAAACGAATGAAGCGAAAACGGTCCACGAAATCGCCGCAACACCGTCTGGCTCGAGCCTTGGGCCCTCGTCGGAGCCATCATCCTGAGTAGAGTGTGGATCTCGCCGCGCTGGGGACTCAAGGCACAGCCCAAGCGGCCCTCAAGACGTCCCCAAGAGGCCTCAGGCTCATCCTGGACTCAGGAGCGGTGCACTCGCCCAGCCTCGCTTGGCCAGGGAGGCGTGCACCGACCCTCGGCCCAGGATCGACCTGTCCGGGGGGGGATACACATACCGCGGGTTCGTGACGTATCGACCCCCGCGCTGGTTCCTGACACCGCGGCGATCGTTCAGCCTTGAACGATCGGCCGTTTCCAACGCGTCAGATCGTTCAACATCGACAGGGAGGGAGGGAGTGAGGGAGGAGGACGAGGACGAGGGCGAGGGCGAGGGCGAGGACGGGGAGGAGGAGGAGGATGAGGAGGAAGGAGGAGGGTCGCCGGCGGCGTCCCACACGGAACGCCGGGGGCGGGGTCGCCGACTGTCGACGCGACACGAACCGACCACAGGCCCCGCCGCCCGAGCACCGAGGCGCCCAGCACCGCCGCGCCCCGCAGGGCCGTGCTCCGCAGCGCCGTGCTCCGCAGCGGCGCGCCGAGGGCGCGGGCCGCGCCGGCAGCGGCCGGCACGACGCCCTGCGGCGACGCCATCACAGGGGAGCGAACAATGGCAGAAACAGAAAGCCTCGGCGGTCCGCGGGGATTTCCTGGATCCGCGCTGGGACCCCCCCCCCCCTGGCGCGCGGAGCGCGCCAGGGGGCCCCAGCGCCGAGCCGAGGAATCGGCGCGGACCTCCGAGTTCCTATGCTTGTGTGATCCTCCGCTCCCCTGCATCAGCAGGTACGGGCCCAGCGTCACGGGGTCGAAAGAGGCGGACACCTCTTGGGACGCAGAGAAGCATACCAGTACGATGTGCTGGTGTTGGAGGCGCACGCCCGACCCGAACCTATACAGCACAGCATCTTGGATGATGCCGTTCCCTGAGCGGTATGGCCAGAACGGGCCCGCCACGGAGCTTATACTATGAGATTTCTCGGCGACGCACACATCGTATTAGTTTGGCTTACGCCAACCTCTGGCGGCGCGCGCATAGCGGGACGTCTTTGCTAAATGCTTTCTCGGGTCAAGAGGCAACTACTGGGAGGTCTTCGTCAGAACGACAAAGGGCTACTAAACCCGATCAAAAGGCCATTCAACCAGACAAGGCTGGATAAGCCCGGGGTTCTGCCGGATTAAGCCTCGGACTGCGCCAGATTGAACGGGATTATCAAGGATGAGCGGGCATCAGTCAAATTGGGCCAATCTGCAGCTGAGGATCGATCAGCGCCGATCCTGAATCCTACTTCCTGTAGGAGTTGCATCCTAACAAGGGGCCTTGGGGGGCGCGAGGGGGGCCAGATGCACACGAGCAAGCCGCTCCAGAGGCCGCTGCTGAAGGCACCCCGTGGGTCCGCACCACGGGTCACTCCAACGAAGCAGGGCTCGAGTTAAACAGTGTTTTCCGTTCTCGTTTTGTTTTCGTCATCCCTAGTTCTGTCTTCATTCCACATCTGCTGCAAAACGAGGTCGACACGAAAACGGTCCACGAAATTGCCAAAACACCGTTTAGCTCGAGCCCTGCAACGAAGGGTCACTCCTTACGTGTGCTCGAGGACGCGGCCCAAGGAGCTGACCAAGGGTGCGGTCCGGGAGGGGTCCACGGGCTGGCTGTCAAGCCAGCCTCTGGCCCGGGAGTGTGGCGAGGGGGCTGTGGCCCTCGCGGAAGGCGCGGGCTCCTCCAAACCTCCAAAGACCTCTGAGAAGGCTCCTTGGGATGCAAACAAAAATTCTCGGACGCCCCTGCCTTCGTCCCTGAGATCCTACGTCGCGAAGCAGTGCAGCAGTGCGAGAAATAACACGACCGGATGCCTGAACCACAACTTCCTGCAGCAACTCTCGAACAGGGCAGGCCCCGGGGCCGCAAACCAATTGAACACTCCCAGTGCGAAGCATTGCGACGCCCGGAGCTCGAGGTTCGAAAACTGCACGGTCCCCTCGCGACACCCCCTCGTGCGCGCCGCTGGCACCTGCCGCGCAGCCTGCGTCTTGGGCGTCGCGTCCGGCATGACTGCACTGCCCGCGGCGGAGGCGCAGCCGACGAGGGCTGCGCACACGAGCGTACGCGCGCCCGGCGCGCACATTCGACGCGCGGCTGCTCGACGCAGCGCGAGGCTGCGTGAAAACTTGACGACTGCGTCTTGGGCCAAAGGGCTGCAGCACAGGCCAGGGCGATGCTCAGGCGACAGCAGCAGCGGGAGGAGCAGCAGCAGGAGGCAGCAAAGCAGGAGGGAGGGAGGGAGGAAAGGAGGGCTGCACATGCACGGTAATGGTGAGCGCACACAGATACACACATGCACGCACACGCACACGTACACCCACGCACAAGTACACATACATGTACACATACACATAAACATACACAGACTTAGACACGTACACAGACACGCACACGTAAACGCACATGCACATATACACGTACAGACATACATATATACATATATATATATATATACACACGGCGGCTAGGCAGAGGGACTGCGCTGGCGAGGTAGGCAAAACGGAGTGCGCTAGGCGAATCCAGCCACCATACAGAGGGGGAGGGACAGCGAGAGGCGCCGGCCAAGGAGGGAGGCAAAGAGGAACATACACACACACACACTCACACACACACACACACACACACACACACGCTCTTATCGGTCGTCCGCGGGCGGGCGCAGCGTCGCGCCGTCCAAAAAAGTCGCCGACGCGCGCGCGCCAGAACACAAGAAACCCAACCCTGAGACCCCAGAACGCCAACTGATCTTTGGCGTGGGAACGTCGCGCGTTCCGTAGCAAAACCATCGAAACTCAAGACACCCAGGGCACCCTGGAGGCAACCAGGGTGCTTCTTGGCATGGGCCCCCACTGGAGGTGGCTGGCCTTCGGCCGGGCATGTCCTCCTACAGGCGGATTTTTTGGGCGAAGAATAAAACATACTGCTCAAATGTTCCTAAACAAGCAAGAATATAATAGAAAAATCGTCCCCAGAAGTTCTTTGACTATTTTTGAATAGTCCTTCTGTAGAGAGTCGTGCCCGACTTAGGGCTGGCCCCTCACAGGGCATCGGCAGCAGCGGCAACAGCGGCAGCACGGGGCCGGGCGGGAGCCGGGGCGGGGGCGGAAAGAGCGGCAGCGGGGCCAAAGGCGCGGGCGAGGGGAGCGCCAGGCGCGGGCGCGCGACGGGCAGCAGGCGGAGGAGGCGGAGGCGGCAGCGAGCGGGGAGCGGTGCCAAAGATTGGCGGGCGGCGGGGCGGCGAGGGGCCGCGACCAGAGCAGAGGGCAGAAAATCTCCCCCCCCCAGACTAGTCACCCCGACAAGCGAGGCCGCTTCGTAAACGGCCCCCAGGGAAGGAAACGAACAGGGCAAGGCTTTTGGCAAACGCCCGGGACCGTTTGGTAAACGCCAGTTGTCCGGTCTGGGTGGTTGTTCCTCCCTTGACAGAGGGCGGTGCCGGCGTGGAGAGCCGGCACCAAGGATGGAGGCGGCGAGGGTGGCGGCGAGGGCGGAGGCGGAGAGCAAGCAGGCGGGTCCGGCGGTCCAGTGCGACCGCCACAGAGGGTCCACCCAAAGGAGGCAGCAAGGGAGGTGGCGACGCACGACGCCTCAGGAGGCGACGGCGAGCGAAGCCGTCAGCGGGGGGGGGCGCGAGTGACGAGACACTGCGCGGGGCGGAGCGGCAGGAGGCCGACGAGACGCCTGGGGTCAGCCGGTGACCCGACTGGGAGCTACCAGAGGAGGAGCGGAGGCGCACAGACGGCGAGGCTGGCTTGGCAGAAGACCGGCGGGGTCAGCCCACCACAAGACGGACTGCGGCAACCGCGGCCACGGGGCGGGAGCCAACCTCGGGGCCCTGTCAGGAGAGCCCAGAATCGAATCGATAAGTCGGATCGGCGATCAAAATGAATCGCATCGGCAGATCTCGGCGGCCGAGTCGGGAGAAGTCGAACCGGCGGAAATCGGCAGGTTCTCAGGCTCCGATTGGGAGATCGGAATCCACGTCGGAGCCCCGAAGTCGAGTCGAATCGGAATCGGAAGCCCTCGAAGTCGAATCGAGTCGAGCCCGAGGAGTCGGCAGGAGCCCTGCCCTGTGCGGCCCGAGTGCGCCCGTGCTCCCGGAGAGTAGGGCGCAGCTGGGCAAGGTAAGCCTCTCGAGGAGAAGCCCGCCTGTGGCGGCGCCACGGTCCTCAAGGCGGGTGCGCCGACGTGTGATCACAGAGTGTGCACCCTTATGCGGGGCCCCGATATAAAGGGGGAAAACAAACCTACCTCGCTTTTGACCACCCTCGTTTCCAAGAGATACCAAGCGATGCCAAACTACGGCCTGTACTGGTCAGGCCGCTTGACGAGGAGGCGCGTGGTATGACTTGGTTTTTCCTGGAAGCGAAAGCGGGGTAGGTAATTCACGCTCTGAAATATACACCACCACCGGGCGGCCATAGGAAAGGACAAATCCTGCGAGCGACCGCTCTGACGGGGGTGCCACTGCCTGCACCCTGGCGATGGAGGGAAAGGTTGCCGCCCTGGGAACTCAGACGAGGACCTGCAGCGAACGACAGAGCCCGAGCGCCACGGGGGCGTCCCACGACCAAGAGGGCGGGCGCAGCCAGCTGGCCGCAGGGGCGCGGGGGGCTGGCCGCCGGGGCGAGGCGGCGGGCAGCCGGGATGGGGGCAAGGGGTCCCCGGAGGGGTGCCGGGGCCTGGGGGGCCACGCTCAGGGGGGCAAAACACACAGACGACTGTCCGCGAGGCTTTGGCACAACACCTCACACCTACACCTACACAGAAACACAGCTACACACAAACACATACACACACGCACATACACACACATACAAACGCGCATACACACACACGCACGCACGCACGCACGCACGCACGCACGCACACACACACACACATACACACACACACAAGCACACACACACACACGCAGACAGTAGCACACACACACACACGCACACACAAACACACACACACACACAAACACACAGACGCACAGACCCACGCACACACGCACGCACGCACGCACGCACGTACACACACTCACACACACACGCACACGCACACACACACACACACACACTAGAACCCTCGCGCGCGCTTCGCGCGCGCTCACGTTCTAGATGCCTCGAGCCCAACTCGCGGTGACGAACTGGAAGTGCGTAAGTAAGAAAGATCCGCCAGCGTGCCGCGAAGCACGAGCTGAAGCATCGTCAAGTCTTTGTTTCAATCACCAGGTGTCTCGGGGGTTTCTTGGAAGCAGGTGTGAAGCCTCGTCGGGGTCGGATTTGCGGCCTCCTGGCGGCCGCCATGAATTCTCTTTGGGGCATCTTGGGGGCCTCTTGGGACTTCTTGCGTGCCTCTTGGGGGGTTATTGGGGCCTCGTGGAGGTCTGGGGCCGTCTTGTCGCCGCCTTTGGGCTCTGTTGGGCCGTCTTGGCGGCGGCTTTGTGGCTTCTTGGGCGTGTTGGGGCGCACTCGGCATTCTTCTTGGTTGGCGAGGGGCGTCGGGAAGCTGAAAGGGGGAGATCTCCCAAACCACGAGCGCTTTCACGCTCTTAGGTTCTAGACAGACACAGGCACAGGTCTCGTCGTTGATCCATGGCGGCGCTGAAACGCCAGGGAAGCGATGATTCACGGAGGGAAGAATCAGGAATGAGGACGGGGGCGCGAATTTGTATGAGAAATCAGGAGGCACGGGGTGAAGACGGTGAGGACGACGGGAGCGGGGGAGGTGCTCGGAGGAGGTAAGGGATGCGAAGGATAAGGAGGAAGACGAGCATGCGGAGGATGCGGTTGGTGTTAATGCTTGTCCCCGCGGTTATCCCGATGGTGTCCCCGATGGCGGTCCACGCAGCTCCCCCGGTTCCGTATGGGCGTTCAGTGCATGTCCAAATGTCTGTCCATGTGTGTTCCGGGGGGGGTGAAACGTTTGCCACTTTGGTTCTCCCGTTTGTTGTCCTGACGGTTGAGTCGCGGATGCCGAAGAAGCAGAAGGCACTTGTTATCTCCCGTCGCAGTGCGTCACAGGCGGCTTCCGGAATGGTGTGCCGCCGGGCTCCTGCAAAAATACCTACCTGCGACTCGAGTGTTTCGGGTTGGGGTGGGCTTTCGATGTCAGCGTTGGGTGGGGGAGAAAGGAAGACGGAGACCGCAGCCTCATGCTGAAGCGTTGCTGCGGGAGGGCCATGCAAAAATCACCGCCGACAAGCGGCGTGCTCCCGAACGCGCCTAGGAGGATACCCGGCAGGACGCGAGAGGACTGGGGATTACGGCGGATTCAAGGGTTTTCGGAGAGAAATCAAGGACACGCTTGGGAGAGTGGCCGATGAAACGAAGGTGGGCGGATTTTAGCAAGGCGTGCTGGGGGGGGGGAGCGGGCGCTGCTACAATGGAGCGGACCATGGCCGCGAAATAAATCAATTCACCGCTTTGCATTAGCCGAGGGCTCGCTTTTAGTCAAGCGGTTGCGCTCGAGGAGCACCTGGGCAGCAGGGGCGCGGTAGGCATCCTCCGCCCTTGCCCCCTTACGACCTGCGACGCGGTGTTCGCGATCGTAAGACCGCGGCGGGGGCGCGGTTAAGGACTGAGGCGGGTTGGAATCCTAAAACCCGAGCCCGAACGCCTCAACGTTGCGAGCGAAACACCCTAGCTCAACACCCTAACCTTTCGCACGGAGCTCGGCCAGGCGGGCGCGCTGAAGGGGGCGGAGGGCGGGCACGTTCGGTGCATCCTTTGCGCGGGCCCTTGGGGTCGTGGCACCGCAGAGCTGCTAGAACTCACCGTGACGAACTATTTACAAGAGCGCGGGGCCAACGTGCTCGCAAGACGACGCGCGGAGAGCAGTGCCTCTCCCGCTGGGCGAAAGGTCTCCGATGCGCCACCTGTGCGCCCCACGACGTTCCGTAGAAGCGCGCCCATGGGGGCTTCAAGACGCCTCCAGGAAGGTAATCAGGAATGTCCCAGGCCGTCGAACCGGAGCCCCTTCAGGACTGTCCTGCTTGCCCCCGGCCGGCCAACGCCAAGCCGAGCAAGCCGAATAAAAAACGATTGTGTCGAGGCGCCCTCAGAGGAAGAGGGACGCGAAGAGAGAAAGAGACAGAGAGAGAGAGAGAGAGAAAAAAAACCTGAAAGGGAGACAGATAGAATGGGAGCCACGCGCTTACGCGCGCAAACTGCCAAGCTTGGAGAGAGGCGAGCGCCGAAGGTTCCTCCGCGACAGGAGTTCCTGCTCGCACGGCTGGCGTCTGGGCGGCAGTTCTATACACAAGCCTCCTACAGGTTCGAATGTACGCCCCAGGCGAGCGACGGGCTTTCAGTCGCTATCGCCCGCGATGCTGCCGTCCGCGATCTCGCGGATGCCGCACGGCCACCAGGCGTTGATCGCCAACGGCGCGTCCACTATCTCGCCCGCGGGCAGCTTGCGGCTCCTCGTCGCCTGGATAGTTCCCGTGGGCGGCGCCCGACATGATGCGGAGCCGGGGGAACTTTCTGGGCCACCGGTAGGCCAATCGTCAGGATACGAATCGAGGAAAACCGCCAGAGTCACCGTGAAAAGACCGTCGGGATTTCCAGGGGGGCAGTCCCAGGGCATCATGAATCAGCTGGCTGGACTCACGGGAGCTGTGATTTCGCAGTTCCCCAAGCGAGCGTCCTGGGCGGACGCGCATTGGGCCGGGGGGGGGCGAAGCTCTGGGCGCCGAGACGCGCCAGGCCACAGCCAGACTTTCAGCACGCAGGGGGGGAGGGGAGTTCTGGAACTCCTGGGGGCCACCTCTGCCTTGCTGAAGAGGTACCACGACCCCGCACGCACAAAGCTCCTCGTTGCGTGCGCGGCCCACAAGGTGACAGCGTACGGCGTGCCGTCCTCGTCCTCGACTGTGATGGGCTTCCTCCACTGCTTCTGCTTGACCTGAGCTGCATGCGCCCGTCCGAAGCGAGCCGATGGAGCGCGATCTCCGTTGGGGGGGGCTGGCCGACTCCTCGCGCCTCTGTGGGGGGATTGCTGGATCTATGCCAGAAAAAAGCTAGTTTGTGCCGCGCCGATCTATCTTGCCCTTCCCCGAACTGGCCCTCCCTGGGCGACCCCTTCTCCGAAGCCCCCTCCGACAAACTGGGCGTCGCAACGACCGATCCGGGCCGAGTGTCCGTCGCTATCACGGACGGAATCCGCGCGGCCTGCTCCCCGACGCTCACCACCTTCGCCTGGAAGTTCAGGATCCGGGTGCCTGGGAACGGCTCGCCCAGGGAATTCAGCGGGACCATGGCGTCGTGGGGGCACGGGAAGTTGATGTCGAAAGGCGGTGCTACTGAAAGGGCCCCCATCACGTCGGCGAGCGACGGGGAGCTCATCTCCGTCGGGGGGGTGGCGGGGGCGGGGGGGGGATGGGGACCTCCAGCTTTGCCCCGTATGTCCTGTGGCTGCGCATGCCGGTCGATCCTTCCCGCTGTCGTCGAACGCCCACTCGAACTTGCATTGTTCCGCCTGCTCCTGGACCGGGCACAAGCCGTGCAGCTGCGCGGGCTGCAGCGCGATGGGGGGCCTCTTCTGCATGCGGGCGCTCGCAGGGAACGTCAAGTACACGTAGGAATTCTCGTAGATTGTCGCCACCGTGGACGAAGTAGCACTCCTGGAGAGGGCGCGGGGCATGGGGGGGGCTAACACCGCGCGAGCGGGGGGCACCGGGGGGCGCGCCTATTTCTTCCGGGGGCGCCTCAGAACAGCAGCGCCCCCGCCCCCGCGGCCGCCCGGGAGTAGGGGAGCCCAGCGGCTCGCTGCATCGATAAGGGGATGCTTTGCTCGCAGCTATAGACTGGATTGGAAAGGCGGGGCGGCCCCCACCCCCCCGCCTGGCGGCACGATGGGCGGCGCGGGGCCAAATTTAGATTGACGGGTCCAGATCGTCACCACCATGGTCGCGGCCGCGCCCTTCTCCGCAGACACGGTGAGCTTCGCTTTCGGAAGAGCCTTGCCTGGAGGGGGCACCCGGTCCGTCTCCTCGTTGAACGGGCTCGCCTCCACGACGTACACGTGGACAACAACCGTTTGAGCTGGGAGAGTTGGCCCGGCGAGGTCGCTGGGGCAAGCCCACGCCGGGGCTTCTTTCTTGGGGGGCGCCCCGATGGCTGCCAGGGGCCCTTTCGGCCTCAGGGGCGCCTGGGCCAAACGATGTCTGCTCGACTCAGGGGCTGGACTGCTCGGCGGGGGGCGCTTCTTGGCGCCAGGCATGGCGGCGGCCTTGCTGGTGCCCGCGTTCGATGGCGGGTGCGTCGCCGCTATCCCAGCGGGCGCCATCGCACGCTTGCTTTTGGGAGGCGAGGTGTCGGCCGCCAGTGTGAACGGCAGCGTTCGCTTCTGCTTGGTCGGGGTGCCGGGAGACGTGGCTGTGTGGATGCCGGCCACCGCAGCAATCAACCTGATGCCGTCTGGGCCGCAATCCCCCACGTCATTGTTGCGGGGAATGATTGCTGAAGCGCCTAATTTTGCGCGGAAGAATTGCGCCTCCGCGCTCGTGCTGTCGTCCTGGAGCTTGAGCTCCGCCAGCTTGTTTCTGATGGCGGGGACTCTGCTGTTGAACGCGGCCGCAAAATGACGTCCGGAACAGTGTAGCACACCATGTATCTGGCCCCTGGCCCACGATCCGAAATGTGAATCTGGGGCCACGTCCGAGAATGACCCTGGGTGTGTGACGGGGTACTCCTCTCCCGCGCCCATGTGCTGAAGCAGCAAGACGCATTCTGCCGTTGATACCCAGTAAGGCACCCGATGCCCCTCAACGACTCCGTCCGCTGGCGCGTCCTCCTCTGTGATGGTGAGGACGCGCTGCGGGATCGACTTGTTCTCCGGGGTACGCCCCGCAAAGCATAGGAGGTTCCGGACATCTTGCTTTGTGAGGGTCTGGCGCTCCACGGGCTCCTGCGTCCATGCAGCCCCCCGCTCGGCCTGCGCCTTCCTGAGATCCGCCACTTCCTTGCAGAGCACGGCCATGGCGTCCCAGTCCTTCCTCTCGGCGGCCGTAGCGAACTCAATTTCAACGAGCGCTATGGTGCGCTGCGGGGCTCCGGCCTTCGGTAAAGGCTGCAGCGCCTCCGCGGCCGCCGGATGGTCATCGCAGGCGGGGGGGGTGTCCTCTTCGCTGCTGGGCTCCAAGTCGACGGCGCCCCAATCGACCTCCGACTGCGCCCCCAGCATATTGCGAGGAATTGGCAGAAGTGCGAGCGGCGGTGCAAGGTGTCACGAGGATCAAACGGCTGTGGAATGAGAGTCTTCGGCGTCGTCTCTTGATCATCCTGAGCCCTCTCATCCCCGTCATCGCCTTGAGCCTGAGCCTCATCATCATCAGCATCAACTTAATCGCCCTCATCATCGCTACCATCTTCATCACCACCCACACCTTCATCTTCCTCATCAGCAGCATTGTCATCATCAACACCACCATCAGCTTCATCATCGTTGCCAGTGCCATCGCGGGGCTCCAACGCGTCCCAAGACAGGTCCCAAAGGACTCTCGGAGGGCCCATAGCGTCTTGGGGCTCTCTTGGAGCTTTTTTGGTCCCTCCTTGTGGTTTCTTGGAAGCCTTTTGGCTCCCCCTGGGACCGTTGGGGACTTCCCAGAGGAGGGAAAAGATGGGAATCATGATTCCCATATTCTTGTTGTTTTTGGGGGCCGTCTTGGGCTCTGCTGGGGCCGTTTCGGGCTCTCTTGGAGCTGTCTTGGGCCCTCCTTGGGGTATCTTGGCATACTTTTGGCACTCAAGACGGCCCAGGAGGCCCTCAAGAATGCCCCAAGACGGCCCAAGAGGCCTCCAAGACGGCCCCAACACGGGCCAAAAGAGCGGCCAGAGAGCTCAGAAACCGACCAAAATAAGTGGACAACGGGTTCTGGGGCAATCCGTGTCTGGCACGGCTGCGGGTGGGAAGGCGTTGCTTCTGAACGGGCGCCCAAGAAAGCCTCCAGACGGCCCAAGAAGCTTCCAGGATGGCTGAAGAAGCGTCCAAGAAGCTCCCCAAGAGGGCCGCGACAAGCAAAAATCGTAGTTTTCCCATAGGGTTTTGTAAGTTTTCGGGGGCCCCCACCTTTTCGGCTGTTCGACGCTGAAGATGGCCCAGGAGTCCCCCAAGATTGCCCCAAGACGGCCCAAGAGGCCTCCAAGACGGCCCCAAGACGCGCCAAAAGAGCGCCAAGAGGGCCCAGAAACCGACCAAAATAAGTGGACAACGGGTTCTGAGGGCAATCCGTCTCTGGCACGGCTGCCGGTTGGAAGGCGTTGCTTCCGAATGGGCGCCCAAGAAAGCCCCCAGACGGCCCAAGAGGCCTCGAGGACGGCCGAAGAACTCTCCAAGAGGCTTCCCGAGAGGGCCGCGATAAGCAAAAATCGTAACTTTTCCATGGGGTTTTGTAGGTTTTGGGTGGCTCCCGCTTTTTTGGCTTTTCGACGCTAAAGACGGCGCAGGAGGTTCTCAAGATCGCCCCAAGACGGCCCAACAGGCTCCTAAGACGGCTCCAAGACGGGCCAAAAGAGCGCCAAAAGGGCCCACAAACCGACCAAAATAAGTGGACAACGGGTTCTGGGGGCGATCCGTTTTGGCAAGGTTGCTGGTGGGAAGGTGGTGCTTCCGCAAGGACGCCGAAGCTAACGTCCAGACGGCTCAAGAGGCTTCCAAGATTCCCGAAGAAGGCCCGAGAGGCTTCCAAGACGGCTCCCAAGATCGTCCCAAGACGTCCCAAGAGGCCCCCAAGAGGCTGCCAAGTCGGCACAAAGACGGACCAAAAGGGTTCCAAGAGGGCCCAGGCTCGGATCAAAATGAGCGGACAACAGGTTCTGGTGGCAACGGTGGGAAAGTGGTGCTTCCGAGCGGGCGCCCAAGAATGACGAAGACGACGACGACGACGACGACGGCGACGACGACGACGACGGCGGCAACGGTAGGGTTGTCTTGGAGCCATCCTGGGCTCTTTTGGGGCCTTTCCGGGTTCCCTGGCAGCCGTCTTGGGGCTTTTTTGGGGATTCCGATGGTTCTCCTACACTCCCAGGCCTTCTCCTGGGGAATTCTTGGGCCCTCCAAGGGCTCTCGTTCATCTGGTTTTCTGTTTCCTGGTTTTTCCTGTGTCGGGCCTCGCTGTACCCGGTTCGCTCCTTGAGGTCGCATTCGATTTGGCAGTGGTGGTTGCGCGTGCGCTGTCATGTGAGTAAACCATTCACCTGCCTCCTGTCATCCAGAAGGTAACCTTAGATCGTCGAGTTTGAATTGCTGCCCCACCCTCCAACTGCCTCCCTGTTCTCCGATTATTGCAACGATAACGAGCGCATCCTTTTGTCGAGGCGCTTCAGAGAGCGGCGCGCGATCAGCAAGGGAAACGAGCATCATCCGAACCAGCAGTGGTCGCTTAAGACCCGCTGAGGTCTGCGGGCGCAAGTGGTTCATAATGGCGGCGATCGCGGGATCGATGGCACAATGGAAGAACTGTCAGTGAAACGCTGAATAACACTCGCAAAGACGCGGTTCGCCCGAACGGTTCATCAGAGGACGCACGCCAGAAAACATTGCCATTTGCACGAGCCGCTTTGGGCACCTCCAGTTGCCTGCTCGCATGCGCAGATGGGCGTCAAATCTGCGAGTTGATTGCGCTGCACTGCGTGCGGCTCCGGGGACCATGAGTCACACGCGACTGCGTCGCAGGGTGGACGCGGTACGTCAGGAAGGGTGTTCTTCGCAGGACGGCAACCCAAATGCCTCTATGCGAAGGCAAATGGATACTGCATGCAGCGGGTTGCGAGTGCCCATGCCTGGCGTGGAGGGGGCTGAAAAGAACAAACAGACTCTCTTCCACCTCAGTCGGCGTGAACGGGACTATGGCGATGTCATGGTTGACGAGGTTCGTTGTCAGCACTTTTATGTCGTAGTTGCCTCTATCGGGGTCATGAGCTGGTCGCGTCGGTCACGGAGGCGCGTCCTACCTGAACTCCGGATCCCGGCGTTGCGTTGGTGACTGGCGCATCGCACCAGGAAGTCGAGGCGGGCAAGGAACTCAAGTTCGATGGCGTTGGCAGTGGGACGTTGCGCGGCGCGGTCCGTTGCATCGGACCACCGTTGACGCCCGGACGGATCAGCGAGGTATGCGCCACGCTGGTCAAGCAGGGATCGCGAGCACGAAGGGCGGGCGCAGTCGTCGGTCCGTCGGTGCGCGACGCCTTCGCTGGACGTTCTGCGGCGTCGTCCTTGGCGCCAGCGTCCGCAGGTTTCTCCCCCAGAGTAGCTCCAGCGCAGCTTGTGGGTTTCTGGGCTGGGGGTTGGCACAGGCAAGTCGTCGAGCAGGGCTGTTCTGCTGTCGGGAGGAATCGCGGGAGTTTGCGCGGCGGCCGCCTGCGCATGCTGTGTCGTGTGGGTGGGAGGCATGCGGGGCTGGTCGGTCGGACGGAAGCTCCAGGCGTTTGAGCGGCAGTTTCGTCGAATGTAATGTGAGGCACAACTTCTTCTTGAAAGTGGCGCGTGTCTCGCGCTTCGATTGCCCCGTCTCCCTCGTCCTCGACGCCGAGGTTGCCAGATACAAGGCTGTCGTCGTGGTTTTCTGGTGGCGCAGGCGTGCCCAACCGCTGCGTCGGCCAGATTCCGGAGCGGACTGCGATTGGCGGGGGATCGCGATCGCGGCTGCGTGTTATCGGTGGCGTGGGAAGGCTTGCTGTGGAGGCGGTCGCAACTGCAGCTCGAGTGGGCGGACTCTCAGACTCGCAGGGGTCTGCCTGGCGTGGTTGGCTCTTGGGCACTTGCGATGCGCGCAGCAATTGGCGGTCGACAATGTTTGCGGTGAAACAGCGGCCGGGCTTATCGGGAGATTCGCTGGTGACGCGCACCTGCCGGCCGCCCCCTGAGTTATCTGCGACGCAGCGAACAGTTTCGAAAGAGGAACCTCGCGAGTACGCGACGTAGAGCTGGCCGTGGGCGAATACTGGGGCGGGCAAGTAAATCCCGAGGCGGCCTGAGATGGACTGTCCTTGGCTTTTGTTGATTGTGATGACCCAGGCTGGTTTCACGGGAAACTGATGCCGACGCAGGATGAAAGGCAACTCGCAGTCGCCGCATGAGTCACAGCAAATCCGTGGCAACAGTTCCACGTTCCCAGCATGCGGTCCTGTCACGACCCGCACGACGAGGAAATACTCGTGCATTGTTTCGACCACGAGCCTGGTTCCATTGCAGAGGCCTTTGTGCGGTGCAAAATTGCGCAGCAATATGACCAAGGATCCACGTCGCAGGAGCAGTTCGTGCGGGGGCAGGCTTGCGGTTTCCAATGAATGTAGGAACTCCGGGGAGTGGGTGTCCCCGCTGTCTACTTCAGTGCAGGCTGTGTCGTGGCTGCAACAGCGCATCTCTGTTGCAGGGTCCAGGTGTTCGAGCATGGTCTTGTTCAATCGTTGACATGTGTCGTTCGTCGGCGTGACGACGGTGCGAGATGCGTAGTATTGGAACCATTGAGCTGGAGGGACTTTGCGAAAGTCCTCGTAAACCCACTGTAATAATGCCTCGGCATCCCACTCGGATGGCGCCAGGACGTCGGCAGGTAATTCGACAACGCAAGCCTGGAGGTCGTTGGAGATGCCGTCGAACGGAGGTGGCGGTAGCCTCCCTTCACCTACTTGGAGGCAGAACTCAGCGCACGCCGCGTCGAAGCATGCGCGCATGTTGCGGGACAAGCGGAAGACGCTGACGGAGTCGCATCCCCACCACGGCAGTGCGCACAGCGCGTGGTTGATGACCGCGTCGCGATCGATGTGCCGCAGAACTGGAGGGATCTGGCGGAAGTCCCCTCCCAGCACCATGGTTCGCCCACCGAAAGGTCGATCGCAGGATAGCAGCTCTCGGAGGCAAGCGTCGACGGCCTCAAACATGGCCCTAGACGCCGTGGGCGCCTCGTCCCAGACGATAACAGCGGCGTCCATAAGCAGGCGTGCAGCGGCAGCGTTGGCTTTCAGGTTACACTTGCACCCTTCAAGGGGGACGGGAACCGGCAGGCGGAATCTTGAATGGGCCGTGCGTCCGCCGGGCAGCAGCAATGCAGCAATGCCGGACATCGCCACGGCTAAGGCGATTCGGCCAGATCCGCGCACGTAGTGAAGGATTTTTCGGTAGACGTGGGTTTTACCCGTGCCAGCAGGTCCGTCAATGTAGATCACGTT